ATTTCCAGTACTAAAACCAATCAAAATCATCTCTATTTCTGTAATATATCTTCCATTCTATCAAATGAGACCAAGAAATCACAAATACAACTATAAAAAAAATACGAAAAAACACTGCAAAGTCGCTGATTTAATCGAAAATCATGGTCTTGGTTTTTTTTCTTATTATACACTGTGTGCTGCAGGATTTGTTTTATGTGGTGCACACATACCACATAGATGTATTCTCTCATATCTAGGCTCAAATTTACCACTCACAGCTTATCAGAGTGAGCCTAGCTCATGGCGTAGATGTACGGTTTGGACCCTCAATGTAAAGCCGTAGATCTACGGCACTGACCCTGAAAGGGTTAAATGTGGACAATGACAGCAATATTAATTCCAGGGTATTGGACAGTGAAAGGATTAATTGATGGTCAACTGTTATAATATCCTGAATTTCTTTGTTTATAAATTTTATTTATTTTAATCAGGGAAGGTGCTGAACTTTGGCAATGGGGAAGCATTAATTTTCAGTCCAAGCAAGTGGAGATGTCCAGGTCCTTGGATCAAAAGTCCCTCACTGGCATCAAGGCAGTTAGTTCCCTTCAGGGGTTATTTAAGACATTTTGCATAAAGCAGTATTTTCATATACCATGTTATGCAAAATATCAATTAAAAAAATATACTTTCAGTATAATAAAAAACAGATATTGTAACTTTGAAACAGTAGCAGGTCTGCATAATTTCAAATGAAAATCTCTCTCAAGAAAGGTTCTTGAAGCTGATGAAGGGCTCTTGACCCAAGGAAATGAACCTGCCTGCCCCCTTCTCATCCTTAGATTGAACCCAAATGCCTCACATCCACCTCCTCCCCCCCAGTTACTGAATAACACACACAGGTTTAGTGCTTCCTCATCGATGTAATAATAAACTTATAGATTATGTACTTTATTATTATCAAAAAACTGCAAATATTTATACAAAAAGGTTTCAAACTGAAACACAGCCTCTCCTCACTTAGCGACGTACTCATTTACCAATGCCTCGGACTTGCAACGGGCTCTCTGACCATTATTTATACCTAAATAGTGTATATTAGAGCTGATTTCCTCCATTCTGTTTATTTCAATACACAGTGGACCCTTGGTTTTCGTGTTTAACCCTTAAACTGTCCAAACATAGATCTACATTTGCTCGCATAGCACTCCGAACACAGATCTATGTTTTTTTTTTTTTACATGCTTTCAAATGGGGAAAATCAAGGTCGGAGCACTACACATATAAACATAGATCTACGTTTCAACAGTTTAAGGGTTAATCTGTTCCAAAGAGATCGGCGAACCGGAAATTGGCAAAAACTGAAACCATTTTCCCCATAAGAAATACATATGTAAATCCAATTAATCAGTTACAGACACCCAGAAGTATTGGCAAAATATTTTTTTTTTTAACTTAAAGATAGATTTACATGCACAAAAGAATGAACATTCAACATGACACTTACCTTTATTGAAGACTGATGTTGGTGGATGGAAGACAGGGAGGAGGGGAGAGGGAAGAGAGGTTATTCTTCGGAAGGGAAATCCCTTTCCATAAGGACTCTAGGTACCAAGTCCTTACCTGAGGTCACTTCCCTTCTTTGTTTTTTAATGCCACTAGGACCAGTTTGAGAGTCACTGGACCAGTCGCACAAAAAATTGTTCCAGAGAGCTCTGTTTCTGGTGTCTCTTTAAAATTTCCCTAAAATGGGACATGGCATTGTCATTCTTCCACAAATGTTTGCACCCTACTCCACATTGCACAAATCACTACCACCCTCTACCACCATCACTACTACTCTCTACCACCATCACAACCACTACCACCCTCTACTACCATCACAACCACTACTACCCTCTTTCCACCATCACAACCACTACCACCCTCTACCACCATCACTACCACTCTCTACCGCCACCACAACCACTACCACCCTCTACGACCATCACTACCACTCTCTACCACCATCACTACCACCCTCTACCACCACCACTTTCGAATTTTTCTACAATCTTTTTCTTTAATTCTACAATGTTCCTCACTTTCTTTACCAAAGGATTGGCACTAGGAGCTTTCTTTGGGCCCATGGTGGCTTATTTAACCCTTTGACTGTTTCAGGCCCCTCTCTGAAACTGTCATTCTATGTCGCCAAATATTCAAAAAAAAAAAAAAATTATTTTTTCTTATGAAAATGTTAAGATTATTTTTCTGAGTGTTTTAGTCCAAAAAAAAAATTTTTGCCATTGGTACTTACCGAGATATAGAGCCGTGAAGTTTGCAGAAAATACCCGCGTATGGCAACAGCGGCGATCCCGTCACCCGGTAAACTTTAGTTTACTTGTATTTGAAGGTTTGTTGTTTTTTTCACTATTTTTTTTTCACATAACTTTTTGGGGCCTATGAGACCAAAAGAAAGGGTGCAATGTATATATATACACTCGTTGTATACAAACAATAACACACAAACAAATTACAATATTTTGTTTACAAACTTTTTTTTACAAAAACAAAAAACAAAAAAAACAAAAAAAAAATTCTCTTCTTCTTTTTCTTCTTCTCTTCTTCTTTTCTTTCTTCTTTCCTTCTTCTTCTCCTTCTTTTCCCCCTTTTCCCCTTCTTTTCTTCTTCTCCTTCTTCCCCTTCTTCCCTCCTTCTTCTTCTTCTCCTTCTTTTTTCTTCCCCTTTCTTTTTTTTCTCCTTCTTCTTCTTCTCCTTTTCTTTTCTCCTTTTTCTTTTTCTCCTTCTTCCCTTCTTTTCTTCCCCTTTCTTTTTCTTCCCCTTCTTCTTCTCCTTTTTTTTCTTCCCCTTCTTTCCTTTTCTTTCCTTCTTCTTCTTCTCCTTTTTCTTCTCCTTCTTTTCTCCTTCTTCTTCTCCTTCTCCCCTTTTTCCTTTTCTTCTTCTTCTTCTTCTTCTTCTTCTTTTTCTCTTCTCTCCTTCTTCCCCTTTTTCTCCTTCTTTTTTCCCCTTCTTCTTTCCCCTTTCTTTTTCCCCTTCTTCTCTCCTTCTTCTTCTCCTTTTTCTTCTTTCCCCTTTCTTCCCTCCTTTTTCCTCCCCCTTCCCCCCTTCTTTCCCCCTTCTTTTTCTCCTCCTTTTTCCCCTTTTTTCTCCTCCTTTTCTCCTCCTTTTTTCCCCTCCCCCTTTCCCTCCTCCTCCTCCTTCTCCTCCTTCTCCTCCTCCTTCCCTCCTTCTCCCCCCCCTTTGTGTGGGGTGTTGGGCTTAAATTTGTTTTGAGTCAGAAGGGGCAGCTGTAAAAGTGCATTTATCTCATTAGTCACTACCCTACCCCTGTCAAAACAAGGGGTCGGATCTGCTTCCCCTCCCCCATTTACTTTTATCTTTCCCCCTCTTCCCTATATCTTTCATCTGTCTCTCTTTCTGTCTGCCTACTCGTCTCCAGGTACACATAAATACAAGAAACAAGTGTAAATTCCCTGGGATAACCCAAGAAACCAGACAAAGGCTATACCTGCTTGAAGATGTGAGTAAATGATGACCAGTCTTGGGTTTCCTCTGAGACAGAGCTAGGGGACAGACGGGGAGCTTGACAGACAGAAAAATAGACGACAGAAATGTTTGTGACCAGCAAAAACAAAAGGGAGGCGATGGCATGTAAAATTACCCCCCTTTACACTCTCAAAGTCAGCTCTTATCAATGTTTCTCCCCTTACTTGTCATGTCAGGGGTGGACTTTTTTTTTTGCTTCAAGGGGGCAAAAATTATTAACATCTTTTTCTTCCTCCTCCTCCTCTTTCCCCCTCTTCCTTCCCCCCTCCCTCCTCCCCTCCTCCCCTTTTCCTCCCCTCCTCCCCCTCCTCCTCCTCCTTTCTTTTGGTCTCAAACTCCCCAAATCATGAAATTTATCTTTACTGACACTTCCATCTGTGTTAGAGCACACTTGGGAAAAGAAAATCCCAGATTTTCTGGGGGAAAACAATTCTTTCCACAACATGCTAAAAAAGACACTGAAATGGGTTCCCCCCAATGCACCACTGGGGGTCCCCCCATTTTTTTTTTAAGGTGCAACGACCATGGAGACCCATTCTCTAATGTGGGGCCTAGAGCTTTTTCCTGCTGATTTGAAACTGCTAGAATTTTATGCGTATAAATACGTCAGAAAAAATTGGCCTAAGACGTATTTTTTGCGGAAACAGTCAAAGGGTTAACAGACATACACAATTAACAAGTGCCAAAACAATGGATTATTAAAAATGTTTTGTGTGACCCCAAGGACAGTTCACTCACTGAGAAACAACGCAACATGCCCCAGGAGTAGTGGGAAAGGGAGCTTTTGTGTTGCTCTGGGCAAAAGGACAGTTTTCCCTACCATCAACAAAAGGAGGAAATCGGGGAAAAAGAACCCAAAATTTTGCGAAAAAAATCGGTGAAAACGGGAAAACTGTGATAACAAAGATCGACAAAAAGGGAGGGTCCACTTACAGTATATACTTAAAACTTTAAAAATATACCAAAATGTTATAAATAGTGCAAAGGTGACATTAAAAATTTTCAAAGATGGTTGACACAACCACTACCATTATGTATGTCCCACTTAGGATGAATTTTATTTAAAGTGGTTTGGAAAGGGAACCCCCTCGTTTAAATAGGAGGGCTGTACTTTTAAAAAATATTTAACAAAATTATTTTTCATTTTTTTAAAAATTTAAAAACAGCAGTAAATTTTTGAAAAAAAAACAAAGTAGGCAATTTAATATGAGTTTTGACAAGGTTACTGAGGAAAAAATCAAAGAAAACTTTTTTTGAGACATATGAAAAAATTTTTAAGGGTTTAAAAAAATCTTGCTCTCTCCATCTAACTTTATCTTTATTTAAAACTATATTAATGAAAAAGAACCTTTTTAAAAAAAAAAAAGGAAAAATTAAAAATTTATCACTTTAAAATTTCAAAGACACAATGTACAAAAGTTGCACAGTACAAAATCTGATGAAGCAGTCTTTGACAATGACCAATAAAAATGCAATTAATACCATCTATCAGGGCACCCATTGGCCCAGTGACCACGACGACCTGAAAAATGAAGATAATAATTAGTAATAATAGAAAAATAATAATAATACTAATATAATGATCAGCTATTGTTGATCACATTAGGGTAGTAGGGGGTAGAATCTTTTATCCCAAGAGAATATATTTTAACTATATGCAGTGCTCCTCAATGAGTATGTGGGCATATGTGTGGACTATCATTATTTTTTTTTTTTTTAGCAATAATGGCAAGGTTTGTGAATTGCAGCTGTGAGAAAGTCAGTGATGTTGTGAGCAGTTGTACTGATGGTTATGAAACAGTTACACTGGTTCTGAGTATACTTTTGGTGTAAGTATAAACAGAATCAATGTAAACCACATCGATAGTGGAGCATCTACAGATTCATGGGTTTTACTCCTTTTAGTGATGAACTTTGTCAAGTCTAATTATACTAAACTCACTGATGAAACTAGTGCCATATGCTACATAGCTCTCAAAATAACCAAAATACTATACAAGCTTGATACAAAATATATGTTATCGTTGGTGCAGCAGCAAAAGTATAGCTGGGAATAAAATATAACAAACCTTATATACAAGTCGTTTTTCATTTACATACATGCGTACTTGTGATGTTGGGTGTTGGAGAGGTATAGGGAGGGAGGCTGGAAGTAATGAGGTGGTGTGATGATGACCATGTGGGTGGCAGTGTCAGTGGCCTAATGTGGGTGGTAGTGTGGATGATGGGTGACTAAGCAGGTGAGTGTGCAGTTGGTATGGGCAGTAATCAGGGTGGTTGGTGGCTATATGACTAAGAATGTAGATGGCATGTTAGGGTGTGGGGGCAATGAAAACATGGGTAAGGAGTGGGCATGGGGTTGTGGGAGTGATGCTGTGAGGGCAAGAAGCTGTGAAGTGGTGAGTGAAAGCATGGAGTAAAGTGTGGGACTGTGTGGGCTTGAAGATGTGGGGTATTGGTGTGCCTGTCAGTGGCCTGGTGTGGATGATGATTGGATGATGGGTGACTGGGTGGGCAATTGTGCACGTGGTAGTAATGAGTGTGGTGTGGAAACTTATCATACCTAAAAATTCCACTGTCAGAGTCGTACATAAATATTTCAGGGTCGTGGTCATGAGATTTTACACACCCTTACACCCAACATTACACTAGGCAACTGTGAGAACAGTGTGGAAATTGACAGATTTATGCCTTAAGAATGATTCAGGTAGGTTTAAATTCTTAGTAAATAATAATAGAATTAATAATATAGCCTTAGACATTAACCCGCTGACTGTCGCAAGCCCATTTCTGAAACTCTTCCTATGTCATAAAATACAGTGGACCCCCAGTTTACGATATTATTTCATTCCAGAAGTATGTTCAGGTGCCAGTACTGAACGAATTTGTCCCCATAAGGAATATTGTAAATTAGATTAGTCCATTTCAGACCCCCAAACATACATGTACAAACACACTTACATAAATACACTTACATAATTGGTCGCATTGGGAGGTGATCGTAAAGCGGGGGTCCACTGTATTCGAAAAATAAACGCATTTTTTTTCTTACCAAAATGTTAGGGTTAATCTACCACATGTTTTATGCCTTTTTTTTTTTTTTTTTTTTTTTTTTTTGTTATCAGTACTTACTGAGATATGGAGGCATAAAGTTGGTAGAAAATGAGCTGTGTATGGCAACGGCGGCGAATGCCACTTACCCGGTAAACTTTTCTTTACTCCCATTCGATGGTTTCTTGTTTGTTCCACTACTTTATTTTTTCAGGTAACTTACGTGGTCTGCGAGACCAAAAGTAAGGTGCAATGTACATATATACGACTTGACTTAAGAAATCGTAATGACACGATTGCAAATATACACTTGTTGTATACAACACATTATGTGCACAAAAATAATTATCAATATATTGTTTAGGTAGTAGGTTGGTAGACAGCAACCACCCAGGGAAGTACTACCGTCCTGCCAGATGACTGTGAAACAAAAACCTGTAACTGTTTTGCATGATGGTAGGATTGCTGGTTTCTTTTTCTGTCTCATAAACACGCTAAGATAACAGGGATATCTTGCTACTCCTACTTACACTTTGGTCACACTTCACAGACACGCACATGCATATATATATATATACATACATCTAGGTTTTTCTCCTTTTTCTAAATAGCTCTTGTTCTTTTTTATTTCTTCTATTGTCCATGGGGAAGTGGAAAAGAATCTTTCCTCCGTAAGCCATGCGTGTCGTATGAGGCGACTAAAATGCCGGGAGCAATGGGCTAGTAACCCTTCTCCTGTATACAATTACTAAAAAAGAGAAGAAGAAAAACTTTATAAAACTGGGTTGCTTAAATGTGCGTGGATGTAGTGCGGATGACAAGAAACAGATGATTGCTGATGTTATGAATGAAAAGAAGTTGGATGTCCTGGCCCTAAGCGAAACAAAGCTGAAGGGGGTAGGAGAGTTTCAGTGGGGGAAATAAATGGGATTAAATCTGGAGTATCTGAGAGAGTTAGAGCTAAGGAAGGGGTAGCAGTAATGTTAAATGATCAGTTATGGAAGGAGAAAAGAGAATATGAATGTGTAAATTCAGAATTATGTGGATTAAAGTAAAGGTTGGATGCGAGAAGTGGGTCATAATAAGCGTGTATGCACCTGGAGAAGAGAGGAATGCAGAGGAGAGAGAGAGATTTTGGGAGATGTTAAGTGAATGTATAGGAGCCTTTGAACCAAGTGAGAGAGTAATTGTGGTAGGGGACTTGAATGCTAAAGTAGGAGAAACTTTTAGAGAGGGTGTGGTAGGTAAGTTTGGGGTGCCAGGTGTAAATGATAATGGGAGCCCTTTGATTGAACTTTGTATAGAAAGGGGTTTAGTTATAGGTAATACATATTTTAAGAAAAAGAGGATAAATAAGTATACACGATATGATGTAGGGCGAAAATGACAGTAGTTTGTTGGATTATGTATTGGTAGATAAAAGACTGTTGAGTAGACTTCAGGATGTACATGTTTATAGAGGGGCCACAGATATATCAGATCACTTTCTAGTTGTAGCTACACTGAGAGTAAAAGGTAGATGGGATACAAGGAGAATAGAAGCATCAGGGAAGAGAGAGGTGAAGGTTTATAAACTAAAAGAGGAGGCAGTTAGGGTAAGATATAAACAGCTATTGGAGGATAGATGGGCTAATGAGAGCATAGGCAATGGGGTCGAAGAGGTATGGGGTAGGTTTAAAAATGTAGTGTTAGAGTGTTCAGCAGAAGTTTGTGGTTACAGGAAAGTGGGTGCAGGAGGGAAGAGGAGCGATTGGTGGAATGATGATGTAAAGAGAGTAGTAAGGGAGAAAAAGTTAGCATATGAGAAGTTTTTACAAAGTAGAAGTGATGCAAGGAGGGAAGAGTATATGGAGAAAAAGAGAGAAGTTAAGAGAGTGGTGAAGCAATGTAAAAAGAGAGCAAATGAGAGAGTGGGTGAGATGTTATCAACAAATTTTGTTGAAAATAAGAAAAAGTTTTGGAGTGAGATTAACAAGTTAAGAAAGCCTAGAGAACAAATGAATTTGTCAGTTAAAAATAGGAGAGGAGAGTTATTAAATGGAGAGTTAGAGGTATTGGGAAGATGGAAGGAATATTTTGAGGAATTGTTAAATGTTGATGAAGATAGGGAAGCTGTGATTTCGTGTATAGGGCAAGGAGGAATAACATCTTGTAGGAGTGAGGAAGAGCCAGTTGTGAGTGTGGGGGAAGTTCGTGAGGCAGTAGGTAAAATGAAAGGGGGTAAGGCAGCCGGGATTGATGGGATAAAGATAGAAATGTTAAAAGCAGGTGGGGATATAGTTTTGGAGTGGTTGGTGCAATTATTTAATAAATGTATGGAAGAGGGTAAGGTACCTAGGGATTGGCAGAGAGCATGCATAGTTCCTTTGTATAAAGGCAAAGGGGATAAAAGAGAGTGCAAAAATTATAGGGGGATAAGTCTGTTGAGTGTACCTGGTAAAGTGTATGGTAGAGTTATAATTGAAAGAATTAAGAGTAAGACGGAGAATAGGATAGCAATGAACAAGGAGGCTTTAGGAAAGGTAGGGGGTGTGTGGACCAGGTGTTTACAGTGAAACATATAAGTGAACAGTATTTAGATAAGGCTAAAGAGGTCTTTGTGACATTTATGGATTTGGAAAAGGCATATGACAGGGTGGATAGGGGGGCAATGTGGCAGATGTTGCAAGTGTATGGTGTAGGAGGTAGGTTACTGAAAGCAGTGAAGAGTTTTTACAAGGATAGTGAGGCTCAAGTTAGAGTATGTAGGAAAGAGGGAAATTTTTTCCCAGTAAAAGTAGGCCTTAGACAAGGATGTGTTATGTCACCGTGGTTGTTTAATATATTTATAGATGGGGTTGTAAGAGAAGTAAATGCGAGGGTCTTGGCAAGAGGCGTGGAGTTAAAAGATAAAGAATCACACACAAAGTGGGAGTTGTCACAGCTGCTCTTTGCTGATGACACTGTGCTCTTGGGAGATTCTGAGAGAAGTTGCAGAGATTGGTGGATGAATTTGGTAGGGTGGTGCAAAAGAAGAAAATTAAAGGTGAATACAGGAAAGAGTAAGGTTATGAGGATAACAAAAAGATTAGGTGAGGAAAGATTGAATATCAGATTGGAGGGAGAGAGTATGGAGGAGGTGAACGTATTCAGATATTTGGGAGTGGACGTGTCAGCGGATGGGTCTATGAAAGATGAGGTGAATCATAGAATTGATGAGGGAAAAAGAGTGAGTGGTGCACTTAGGAGTCTGTGGAGACAAAGAACTTTGTCCTTGGAGGCAAAGAGGGGAATGTATGAGAGTATAGTTTTACCAACGCTCTTATATGGGTGTGAAGCGTGGGTGATGAATGTTGCAGCGAGGAGAAGGCTGGAGGCAGTGGAGATGTCATGTCTGAGGGCAATGCGTGGTGTGAATATAATGCAGAGAATTCGTAGTTTGGAAGTTAGGAGGAGTGCGGGATTACAAAACTGTTGTCCAGAGGGCTGAGG